TGGGAGTCATATATAATGAGTATTTATTTTACAAATTCAATAATCATATAATTTATATATGAACATTCTGGGCTTACACTTTAAAGGAGCTATTACCTTGAAAATGTGATAGTGACTTGATTTATAATGAATATCAAGGACAATAATGTTTTGTGCCTGATAAGTACATAATAAATTGAGGAAAGCTCTATGCTTTTAAAAACATATACAAGCAAATGACCATTCTTAAGAAATTGAAATATATGATTTTTAGAATTATTTAAATATTAGTGAAATAATTACTATTTTTTAAAAATACCAATTTTCGATTATTTGATGGAAACACAGGTGTATTTCCTGAAGTAGCCACCAGATGGCTATATGGACCCTTCCTTAGTTAAGGGTTCTTTTTTTGTTGTTTTTTGTTTTTATTTTTTTTCCCCCGCTGCACAACTAAAGATTCTTTACATAATTTTTATGGGACTTTGAAATGACTTAAACTGTAAAGATATAATAGATATTAATGCAGTGACATTTGTGTGTATAATTGTTTCCGCTGATTTTAGTATAAGTAATGAAGACTGACAAGGATGAGTCTCACAGAATCCCTAAATCACAGAAATTTCAAACGTTTAATATTTAGCTATCTTTTACTCCAAAGTCTTAATTTTACAGATTAAGAACATGAGATCTAAAAGGCATTCATTTTTCCATCATTTTGGGCTTAGTTTCACTGGCAAAGTCTAAGTACATTATCCAGATAATTCTAATGCAGGATTAGGAAAAGACATCAAAATTACCTCTGAAACTCTGCAAATAAATGATAAGAAGTCCATCTCTTTGAATTATTAAGGAAATTATATTTATATACGTTGCTTCCATTCTGTCAATGCACTTACAAGGAAAAAATAGGTAAAATAAAACAAAACCTAAACACTTTTTTTTTTTTAATGGTACCGGGGATTGGGTTTAGGGCCTTGTCAATGCTAGGGAAGCGTTCTATCACTGAGCTATATTCCCTGGCCTTTTTAGAAAAATGTGATTTTGAGACAGGCTGTCATTAAATTGCCCATGCCGGCCTCCAATTTGGCATCGTCTTGCCTCAGCCTCCCAAGTACTGGAATTACAGGAATGCACCCTCCATCCCCTTCCCCACACCCAGCTAAAATATTATTTGATAATGAAGCCTTACCACATATTTTGTTCTGGAATATAGTTATCTTAGAAATAATTAGATTTATGTTACCATAAAAAGAGCTAAAATAAGAGTATTGCAACTTTGTCAAGTATGACTATTTAATGCACTTGGTATTT